ATCCAACAACAACATCGTCACACCGACCAGACACCATCTGCCAGGATCAGTACGTCATCTACCGATATCAGACCTATCTTCCACCCTTTTTTTTCCTTATTGTTATTTGCTAGAACATAAATATATCTATGTTACCTCTACTTGATAAAAACAACTGAGGTTAAGCATAACAACGGTAGGAAACTCCAGAAAAGTCAAGGTCGGAAAGAAGAAAATTATGTTTTCACCACAATGTCTGCTGAATGAGATTTTTAAGCTGCTTACCAGATAATCCAGCTTGGAAATCGAGGCAAAACAGCAGAAGTTGCTGTGCAGTTTCTTCCGATGTAGTGCGTACAATTGACTGAACGTATCGGCCCAATGCAGCACTTGTTGCAGTCAGGGTGCTGCCCAGTTGCGCAAACATTATTTCATCGAGAGGCGGTGAACGGGGACGAGACATCAAACAAGCTCGCCAACGAGTCAAATCTCGCACCGAATATCTACAGAAATTACAAAAAAATTTGAAAAATTTTCTATCGTGACAGATTCCGATCATGATATTTTTTTTCCAGGCGCACTGATCAAGCTTCAAGTTCCGAATTTCAAAAGCCTCTGGTAGTCCAGAAAAGGAAAAAATGCGAATTTTACTGAGCTTGAGGTATAAAATATCCAACATTTCGCCCTCGTACAAATATTTTTTCTTGAAAAAATTCTTGCGATACTTGGGACGGGCAAAACTTTCAAACTTCAAGTAAGGAAGGAATGTAATGACTGGCTGTAGCGCTGAAAAATGCAGTGTCCCGAGGTTTTCATGAGAAGGAAGGCAAAATTAAGGACAGAAGAAGGTATATCTGGATTCTAGAGGCCGTCATGGATTATGCTAAAAAATTTCAGATTTTTGGTCTTCGCAGCACTTGCGTTAAAACACAGACATAAATAATAGAAAGTTATGGTAAGGAAAGAAAAAAAGAGGAAAAAAAAAGGAAAGAAAACGCAAGAAATGAAAATTAGCAAATTTGTGAGATTAATATAATGGTAAGAAATGTTTCGGCCC